GGGGCGCTGTCACCACCTGCAGTAGAGCCTTATGGCGCTGAACCGTGCAGACTGCGATGGGCCTGGTGAGGATGCTGCTTGGCATGATTTCCCCAGCCTTCCCAAGACGTACCGATACTGCTGAGGTGTCTCACCAGGTGTGCAGCGCTGTGTGCTGCTCCTTCCTCCTCCTCTCATGGTCAACGATCATTGCTGCTGTTTTATTAATGTTCAGGGAGAGACTGTTTTTCTGACACTTCACCGGGTCGGCCACCTCCTCCTGCACGCTGACTCATCCACCACAGTTATCAGGCTGTCGCCTCATCAGCAAATTTGATGATGCCGGTGTTGTTCTGGGAGGCCACACAGTCGTGGGTGTAGAGCACCTGTGTTTGTAGTTGTTGTCCTGAATGTGCAGTTCCCTGTTCTGACACCATTACAAAGTCCAAAATCAAGTTACGAGTGGGGGCCATGGACGGATCATGAGACAATGGGTCCCTGGGCACAGACACGTCTAGGAGCAAGTCAGTGCTGTCAGGTCGTCTTCTTGTTTGTGTCCATTTATAGTTTAGATGGTGAACATGTTCTTTTAAGACAGGGTCACAGCCAGACAGTCTAGCAGGGTTTGTTGATTGGCTGCTGCTCCGACACTTCAGTTTATTTGTATAGCAGCAAATCACAGCGACCTATTGTCTCAGGGCCCTTTACAGAGTAAGGTCTAGACCAGGATCATAGAGACAAACCCAACATGTGTTTCTGTCATTTGTCTTTGAATTCCTTTGTTTACATCTCTGTGCTGATGACGACTCAAACGTATGTTTCAAAATGTTCAGTTGCTCTGAACGTTTGTGTGCATCACAGCAGGTCTGGTCCAGGCGGACACATCACCATCACCTTCCCTGTACAACAGACTTTCCCTGATAAACTGTTCAAAACAATAGACTGAAGTCATCCACTCCTCCGGTCGCCAGCAGCCGGCCTCTGCTCTTCCTGCCAAACTCTGAATAGCCTGTCCCTGAAAACCAATAACCACGAGGGTGTGAAATTGTCCTGTCATCACTCTCTCTTCCTCCCCTCCTTTCTCATTTTCCTCTTCTCTTTCTCCTCTATCTTTCCTCACCTCTCTGTTAAGCTGATGTGTCATCCAAACAGTGCAATGCAATAAGTGAGCAAATAGCTGTAATCACTCAGTCGATGATGCACAATCACCCGTTCAGCACGCTCCGGGCGTTGCGGCGACCTGGCAGCCTTATCGATCTCTGGGGGAGGGGACGATTAAAGGCAGTTAACAGATGGTGAGTGACAGCGCTCATAAACCCCGCACTAAAAGACTAATGTCCTACAAGCTGCAGCCAGCGTGGCAGCAATAAACAACCCTGCCACTGACTGTCAGCGCTGTGGGTGGGATGAGGGGGATGATGGGAGGCGAGGGGCCAGCTGCTGCCTCGCCGAACACAGTCTGACGCGCAAGGGGGTCCTCGGAGGCGATCACTGAGCTCTGATGGAGGTCATGTAGAGACAGACTGCTCTCAGCGTTCAATTACAAAATCCAAATGGTGAATGGGCGGTTCAGTGCGACTGCAGAGACAGAGTCAGAGAGGAGCCTACACAAGAAAGTTACTTTATGATCTCAACAAAAGTTTTGTGTCAGCCTCAAGATAATTACTTTGTGGTAAAACACTTTCCATCTTTAGCCATGACTGCATGGCAGTGTCAGTTTGTCCACCACTTTGATCCAGACTTAAATCTCTCTACACTGGATGAAGGCCATGAAATTTGGTGCAGATATTAAAGCTCCCCTTTACCTCATGTCTTTTCAACCCGGAGGGTCCAGTCGGGCTGAGAAAGTGACACTTGAACACACCGCAGACTCCAGCCAACAGCCGACTAACATGTTGTCCCCCTACCAGCAGGTGGCAGTGTCTGTATTCACTATTTAGAAAGGGAAGGAAGAAGAGCTAGACTGTGGAAACACCAAATCGTTCACCACAGCTGCTGTTTACAGCTGCTTCTTATCGAGAGATATGTCGGATAAGAAGTTACAAACGACACCGCTGTTCTCTACCCTCGGTCTTTTGGTCAAAAAGCCACCGACAATGCGAGACACTGGTCCCGTTTATCAGACTATGGAAAATCTTAGTGAATGCACCTTTAATGTTCCACAGAGGATGAGTCCTAGTGACTCATCATGAAGCTGATACTTGTGGCTTTGAGTGAAATGTTTCAGCAACTGTTGGGTGGATCTTCATAAGTTTTGTTTCAGTGCTGTTCCCCTCAGGATGACATGTAATAACTTATTCAAATATGATTCACGGGCTTGTGGCTGTGAATGTCACAGCAGAATAACTGAGACATTTCACTGTGGACCAACTACCACTGGCATCTCCAGAGATAAATACAAATGATTTTACCTCCACAAAAGCCTGTTTGACGGTGACACTGTGACACTTTCTTATAAACTGTAACAGCTGTGAGTTTGCTTTGGCTCGTGTTCATCGACACCATGGCTGCTGGGGTGCACCCTCAGTAAAATGCATGAATGTCTAAATGTGGACTCTGAGCTGGGACGGGACTTTGGCTGTGACTTGTGACTACTTAGGCATCCACAAGAGCACAAGTACAGACAAACGCACAGACTGAGAAGGATCTGGAAGGCAAGCGAGACAAACTACAGTAAAGTACCATATAAAGGAGGGCGTAGCAGAGGAGCTGTTTTCAACAGGACAAACTGACTATTGATGCAGCAGTAAGTAAAACACACTGTTCTTTATTGGAGTGAAAGAGAAGACTGTTGTTTTGTGGAGCTGTTATCAGATCCATAATCCTCTGCTGACGAACGCAGCTCGCCTGTGCTGCTGATCAATAATCCCCTCTGTGTTTAGAGAGTATGGAAAAAAAAAACCACAGTTGATACAGTTTCGTATATAAATAGTATCAGAGCTTTTCTGACATGACGCCGTAGCCTACGTCTGGAGAGGTTTGGCCTGATATATATTTATGAATGCAGCATAGAATCACAAGTCTGAGTTTACTTATATTCTGTGGTGCTGCACAGGGGAAGGACGAGGCCGTGCAGGTGGAAAATGTTTCCAATCAAACAATTTCAACTTTTATGAACCTTCTTCATAAATGTTCACAAACACAGAGACTGCGGGTCAGAAACCAACAGCTGCAGAGTTTTTGGTGACGTCTGAGTTCAAGGCCTGGACGATTTAAAATGGCAAAAATCTGCAGCAGCATCAGTTCTTTCCAAATAACCTGCTGTGACTAGATGATCTGCTCTAGGAGGAGAAATTAATCCACATGCATGTGCCATTTCAACTTTGCTGACATTCAGATCTGAATTCAGGAGGAAGCCACCTTTGATGGAACAGAAAACCTGAGGACAGCGTCGTCTAGTTTTCACCACTTCTTCCACAGTTTTTAAGCACTTTGGAGCTTCAGCTGTTACCATCTTGGCTATGTACAGTTGTCGTGATGGTGTTTGTTGTAGTGGAAAAGGCTGTTTGTTTAAACCCAGTGTCTCTGTGCTAAAACCCAGTTCAGTGGGTTGAGCCTGGGAGTAGAGGCTACGCTGTGGGAGAACATGAAGACGGTGAGGTATGTTTAGACGGTCGACTGCCCACATTCATCCTGGAGTTGACTGATTC